ATAATTATTGTTGTGAAAAGTTTAGAAAATATCAGTAAAAACAATCTTTACTGGAAACTTCAATTGAAAAAAAAAAGAAAGTCAGTCAAGATTTTGAGACAAATCATCATTTACAACAATTATGAAACGTTGTTCTACATCATATTTTGGATCTACACATATTTTGGATCGCAAAATCAACTTCTTCACGTGCAAATCATTGTTTATAACAATTAACCTCTGGTTTGCATCACCTTTGCTGTATGCAACATCAACTTTTCCAGTTGCACTTATTGTATATCACTCCTTCTTGAGTTTTATAACAACCTAACAATCTTGTTATTAAGGAAAAATAAAAAGACCATAATTGTGTCATACTCACTTTATTTCCACATGGTTATATTTTTTTTTTTTTGATTAAATATAATATGTTATATAAATTTATTCACAACTTATTACTATTTGAATTTACCAAACATTGAATTTACTTCATATCCAATAAGGATTGTCAAGAAATTCAAATTATAAAATTCAATCCATAATAATCTAAATTTATATTAGTTTAAATCTAATTAAATAAATTTATCCCAAATTTAAATTTATATTTTTAGATTTCAAGTTCATTCCATTTATTTGGATTCAAATTAGATCTAGATTTTATCAAGGTGTGATTAAGTTAATATAAGATAATTGAATACTAGGTTGAGCCAAATTGGTTCGAGTCCAAGGTCGAGCGGAGTTAGCTTGAGTCAAAGGTTAAGTAAAGTCGGTCTAAAACGAATGTTGAGTCAAATCCGTTAGATAAAGTTGTGTATACTCAAATTAAAGGTCGAGTCGACTCGAATCAAAGAATTGAGTTAAACAATCAAGATGAGTAGGCCTGGGTTAAATTGTCAAGTTGAGTCAAAGGTATAAACGGATTAACATGTGTCGAAGGTCGAGATGGTATGCTCATAGAGAGGTTAAGACTATGGATAACAATGCAAAGTCGGTCATGTGGGATTACCTGTAGGCTCGTAAGAAAAGTGCAGGACGAGTTGAGTATTTTAGTTTGTTGGTTTATTTAAACTCGTCCTACAAAACTCATAGCCCAAGCAGGCCAATGATGGGATGACCTACATAAACCGCATTGACTTAAATTTCTAAAACCAATAACACTAGTATTACATGTCATTTGTGTTTCTTCTAAGCAACTTTCACATTCACATTTCTTCTCCAATCCATCTAAAAGTAGCTCACTCATTTATGTTCAATTCATCCAAAAATAGCTTCTTCATTCGTGTTTCTTCTCATGTTTCGATGCATGTCATTTTTATTTATAATAGGCTTATACTCAAAAGTTAGAAATTATAAAAGTATGAATATTACTTATTTTAAAAAATAGACTTATAGAAATTATTATTTCTACTAATTTAATTAAATATAAATAGTTAATAAAATCCTGATTGTAGAAAAGAATTACAAAACAAATTATTTCTTATGCTACCCAGAAGTCGGTCTTTAAACCTGTAAGGTGAGCCAAATAAATTACCCTACATTTCTTATGTGGGCCAAAAACGTAGGCCAAAAACGTAGGCCAAAAGGACATAGATTGGCTCACATTGACATCCATAGTCAAGAAGAGTTGGCTCGCATTAAAGGTTGAATTGAGTCTAACTGATTCGAAGCTTGACACAAGTCGATAAATTTTGAAAGTCAAGGTGATTCGACCAAGATCGAAGGCCAAGGCTAGGTGGTCCACCAAAAATCGAGGTGAGTCGATCTAGGTCGAAAGTCAAGGCAAGTTGACCAAGTTCGAAGGGTTGAGCCGAGTCAAGTTGAGTTGATTGGACTTGGACCCTAAAATTGAGCTGAGTCGAGTTGAACTGAGTCGGCCCAACCGAGGAATTGGGCCAAGTTGGTCTAATTTGAAGAATTGAGCCAAGTCAATCGATATGAAGGTTGAAATGAAGTAAGCTAACATTAAAGAATTGAGACAAGTCAATCCATATAGAAAAATTAGTCTCGTGAACCTAGGTTGAATAATTGAGTTAACTTAGCCCGAGTCGAAGGTATAGCGAAATCGGTTCACGCTAGATAATTGAGTTGAGTTAGCCTAGAACAAAGAATTGAGTTGAGGTGACTCGGACCAAAAAATCGACATAGAGTGAAGGTAGAGGCATGTCAGTTTTGAGTTGAAGATTGAGACAAGTCGATCAAGTTGAAGGTCAAGCCAAGTCAACCTACGTTGAAAGGTAAAGAAAAGTTGGTCTAGGCAAAAAAATCGAACTAAGTCGACTGAAGCTAAAAAAATCAAGCCAAGTTGACCCGGGTCTAAGGTTGAGACGATTCATGTCAGGTTAAAGGTGCAATTAAGGTGGCCCATACTAAAATTCAAGACAAGTTGGCCTAGGTTAAAAGGTCAAGATTAGTTAACCTAGATTGAAGATCAAAACTAGTTGATTTAGGTCAAAATTCTGGATGAGTGGGTCTCTAATGAAGGTTGAGTCGAGTGGCTTTGAGTGGAAAGGGTGAGCTGAGTTGGGATGGGTTCAGTTCAAACCAAGTCAGCTTGGGTCAGTTAGGGGAGCCAAGTGAAGCTAGAACTAGGTGGAGTTGAGTCAACACAAGCCTGAGTTCAGTGAAGTTGGTCTATGCACATGTTGACTTAAGTCAACTTTGACTGATGTTGAGGTGAGGCGACATAGATAGGAATGACAACGGGTCGGGTCGGGTATAGATAGTGTCTACCCGCAACCCGACCCGACAAGAAAAAATCCAACGCTACTTGACCCGTTACCTGACACGGTACCCACACGGATACCTGTTAAAAAATATCCGCGGGTATTTTAAAACCCGCGGATACCCACAGGTATCCCAACTATTTAAAAAAAATATTTTTTTACAAATTATTAAAATAAAATTTAAATAAAATTACAAAAAATATATAAAATATACTATAAATTTTATTAAATATAAATTAAAATTTAATTTTAATTAAATTTAACCTTATAAAATATAAATTAATGTTAATTTTAATTAAATATAACTTAATAAAATATAAATTAAATTTTTATTTTTATTTTTTGTGGGTAGCGGATATCCGCGGATACTGATAATATAATATCTGCACCCAACCCGTTTATAAGCATATATTAAAATATCCGCTATTCGCAATCCACGGTGGTTATAAGTCAGGTCGAGTTAGCCTAACTCATAATTTATAAACCTAATTGTTAGATATATTTTACCAATCTCATCTAGTTTTTAATTTAATTAAAAAACTGAATTCAATCTTATTTTAAATTAGAGTTATGAAATTACAAATCTAGTTTGAATTAGTTAAAATAAATTTAAATTATAAATTCTATGGTTTACTAAATTATAGATTTAATCTATTTTATAATAGGAGATTAAATCTAGACTGAATTTAAAAAAAAATAAAATCTAATCCATAAAGTTCTCAGCATTCACAAAAAAACAAAAGTTCAAGCAGAATGGTAATTGTAAAGTATTATACTTATGCCGGCCTAGACAGCATCCTTATTTTGAAAAATAAAAGAAACAACACCATTTTCTTGAAACGCAGTTACATAACACAAAGATTTCGATCATTTCTCCTATAATTAAGTAAAACGTCATAATGTATTAAATACTAATTATTGAATCTCACCATCAAGAAAAACTTATCCAAATTTTTACTTCTAAGAGAGAAATTCAAATTAACGATAACCTATATTTAAAAGAAAATTAGGAGTAATGATTGTGATCTTGGCCTAAATATTTCTTTGGTACATACATATTTATTAGAACAATTTTNTTGAATTTTATTAAGATGAAATAAAACTAAGCTACGTTATCATAACTTTTTTTTTTTCAAAAAGAGAAGTTTGTATAAAATATTGTATAAAATATATTTAATACAACCCAGAAAGAAAGCTTACAAGAAGATATCTAGTTTTAGAACGAAACTTTTATAAATATATCAACGGCTAGAGGTGATTCATAATAGTTACTCTTAAAAGTGACATACTACAATATTACGTGTTATGAAATTGACATGTAAAAGAAGTTACAACCTTCACATGATTTCAACTAGCTTAATATTGAGTTAATTAAGTGAGTTGATATATTTTTTTTAACCTTTTTGCATCTTCTCTAATTTCTTAGAAGCTACTAACATCTTATACTCTTCTACAAAAATATTCTAGAAACTTCTAATAAGTTACAATTAATAATTGATCAACAATAAAAGAAATTGGATGCACTAAAGCTAAAACAATTGAAAACAAAAATTATTTGTTTCAAGTCAATTGATCGGTATATTATGGAAACCTTTCTCAATAAAGAAACATCTAAGGATATATGAGATTCAATGAAGAAAAAGTATCAAGGATATACAAGAGTAAGGAGGTAGTAGTTTCAAGCTTTTGTGGTGAGTTTGAAACAATCAGGATGAAATATAGAGAATCATCACGAATTTCACGTTTGATAACGATGCTCACTTATGGTTACAAAATTGAAAAAACAAAAGGTATTGAAAAGATTATATGACCTTTAGCATCCAAATTTAATTTTGTCGTATGTGTTATAGAGAATCAAAAGAAATTGATGCTCTTTCGCGTGATGAAATGAGGAGCAAGTATTGAAACCTTTTACTAATACTTAATTCAACAATTTTAGATAGGACAGAGGTAAAGTTAAAGACAAAGCGTTAGAGAGAAAACAATTTCAAAAGTCCATCTCAAGAGGAGAACATGACAAATCCGACGTAGTCTTGTTTCATTGTGCAAGACATCATATTCAAGGAATGGTTGATAATAAGCTATTGGCAGACTTATCTGTACACTTTGCTGAAATATTGATATATTTTTGTGGTGGATATATAATTATCTGTAATAATATTCTCCATGAAAATAGCTTGACTGCATGTGTGTGTGTGTGTGTGAGAGAGAGAGAGAGAGAGAGAGAGAGAGTAGATAAGGAAGTTACCCAAGAGCAGATAAGGGTTCAGATTTATACCTAATTCAAAGGCAACCGCCATGGATGCTGCTACAAGTGCTGCTCCTTTGCACATAGCAATATTTCCATGGTTTGCTATGGGACACTTCACCCCTTATCTTCACCTCTCCAACAAACTAGCAGAGAGAGGGCACAGAATATCCTTCATAGTCCCACAAAGAACACAAACCAAACTACACCACCTCAATCTTAACCCTCATCTCATCACCTTTGTCCCCATCAAACTTCCTCATGTTCATGGCCTTCCCCACCATGCTGAGACCACTTCAGACGTCCCCTTCTCTTTATTTCCACTTATCGCCACCGCCATGGATTGCACACAGAAGGACATTCAACTTCTCCTCAGGGATCTCAACCCAAACATTGTTTTCTTCGATTTCCAACATTGGCTACCCAGCTTGACTCGGAGCCTAGGCATCAAGAGTGTCGCCTACCTCATAGTTCACCCATTATCAGCAGCATACCTTGGAAACGGACCAAGACGAAGCCAAGGAAGAGAGTTAACTGAACTTGATCTTATGGAACCGCCTCCGGGGTTCCCTGATTCATGCATCAAGTTTCAGTCACATGAACTTCGGTTCCTCGCTGAAGTAAGGAAACTCGAGTTTGGAAGTGGTGTCCTCCTGTACGATCGGGTACACAATAGTTTCTGCTCGGCGGATGCAATTGGATTCAAAGGTTGCAGAGAAATTGATGGGCCATATGCGGATTATCTTGAAACTGTGTTTGGGAAGCCTGTTTTTCTTTCGGGGCCACTTTTACCTGAGCCACCGAACACTAGTTTAGAGGAAAAATGGATTTCATGGCTTGGGGGATTAAACCCTGGTTCTGTTATTTTTTGTGCATATGGAAGCGAAAGCCAGTTATCAGAAAATCAGCTTCAGGAGTTGTTGCTTGGTCTTGAATTAACTGGTTTTCCTTTTCTTGCAGCACTTAAGCCCCCTGATGGATTTGAGAGTATTGAAGAAGCTCTGCCGGAAGGATTTGGAGAAAGGGTTAAAGGAAGAGGGATTGCATATGGAGGTTGGGTGCAGCAGCAATTGATTTTGGGACACCCTTCTGTTGGGTGCTTCATAACACACTGTGGAGCTTCTTCTGTGACAGAAGCGCTTGTTAACAAGTGTGGGTTGGTGCTGCTACCACGACTTAGTAGTGATCATATCATGAATGCAAAGATGATGAGTATGATCTTAAAGGTTGGAGTGGAAGTGGAGAAAGGTGAAGAAGATGGATTGTTCACAAAAGAAAGTTTATGCAAAGCTGTGAAAACTGTTATGGATGATGATGGCAATGAGATTGGCAGAGAAGTCAGAAAAAATCATGCCAAACTCAGGAATTTCTTACTCAGTGACAATCTGGAATCCTCATGTCTTGATACTTTCTGTCAACAGCTACGAGATCTTTGTAATGATTCCCGAATTTGAAAATTGTTCTAATAAATATGTATGTACCAAAGAAATATTTAGGCCAAGATCACAATCATTACTCCTAATTTTCTTTTAAATATAGGTTATCGTTAATTTGAATTTCTCTCTTAGAAGTAAAAATTTGGATAAGTTTTTCTTGATGGTGAGATTCAATAATTAGTATTTAATACATTAAATACGTTTTTACTTAATTATAGGAGAAATGATCGAAATCTTTGTGTTATGTAACTGCGTTTCAAGAAAATGGTGTTGTTTCTTTTATTTTTCAAAATAAGGATGCTGTCTAGGCCGGCATAAGTATAATACTTTACAATTACCATTCTGCTTGAACTTTTGTTTTTTTGTGAATGCTGAGAACTTTATGGATTAGATTTTATTTTTTTTTAAATTCAGTCTAGATTTAATCTACTATTATAAAATAGATTAAATCTATAATTTAGTAAACCATAGAATTTATAATTTAAATTTATTTTAACTAATTCAAACTAGATTTGTAATTTCATAACTCTAATTTAAAATAAGATTGAATTCAGTTTTTTAATTAAATTAAACTAGATGAGATTGGTAAAATATATCTAACAATTAGGTTTATAAATTATGAGTTAGGCTAACTCGACCTGACTTATAACCACCGTGGATTGCGAATAGCGGATATTTTAATATATGCTTATAAACGGGTTGGGTGCAGATATTATATTATCAGTATCCGCGGATATCCGCTACCCACAAAAAATAAAAATAAAAATTTAATTTATATTTTATTAAGTTATATTTAATTAAAATTAACATTAATTTATATTTTATAAGGTTAAATTTAATTAAAATTAAATTTTAATTTATATTTAATAAAATTTATAGTATATTTTATATATTTTTTGTAATTTTATTTAAATTTTATTTTAATAATTTGTAAAAAAATATTTTTTTTAAATAGTTGGGATACCTGTGGGTATCCGCGGGTTTTAAAATACCCGCGGATATTTTTTAACAGGTATCCGTGTGGGTACCGTGTCAGGTAACGGGTCAAGTAGCGTTGGATTTTTTCTTGTCGGGTCGGGTTGCGGGTAGACACTATCTATACCCGACCCGACCCGTTGTCATTCCTATCTATGTCGCCTCACCTCAACATCAGTCAAAGTTGACTTAAGTCAACATGTGCATAGACCAACTTCACTGAACTCAGGCTTGTGTTGACTCAACTCCACCTAGTTCTAGCTTCACTTGGCTCCCCTAACTGACCCAAGCTGACTTGGTTTGAACTGAACCCATCCCAACTCAGCTCAACCCTTTCACTCAAGCCCACTCGACTCAACCTTCATTAGAGACCCACTCATCCAGAATTTTGACCTAAATCAACTAGTTTTGATCTTCAATCTAGGTTAACTAATCTTGACCTTTTAACCTAGGCCAACTTGTCTTGAATTTTAGTATGGGCCACCTTAATTGCACCTTTAACCTGACATGAATCGTCTCAACCTTAGACCCGGGTCAACTTGGCTTGATTTTTTTAGCTTCAGTCGACTTAGTTCGATTTTTTTGCCTAGACCAACTTTTCTTTACCTTTCAACGTAGGTTGACTTGGCTTGACCTTCAACTTGATCGACTTGTCTCAATCTTCAACTCAAAACTGACATGCCTCTACCTTCACTCTATGTCGATTTTTTGGTCCGAGTCACCTCAACTCAATTCTTTGTTCTAGGCTAACTCAACTCAATTATCTAGCGTGAACCGATTTCGCTATACCTTCGACTCGGGCTAAGTTAACTCAATTATTCAACCTAGGTTAACGAGACTAAATTTTTCTATATGGATTGACTTGTCTCAATTCTTTAATGTTAGCTTACTCATTTCAACCTTCATATCGATTGACTTGGCTCAATTCTTCAAATTAGACCAACTTGGCCCAATTCCTCGGTTGGGCCGACTCAGTTCAACTCGACTCAGCTCAATTTTAGGGTCCAAGTCCAATCAACTCAACTTGACTCGGCTCAACCCTTCGAACTTGGTCAACTTGCCTTGACTTTCGACCTAGATCGACTCACCTCGATTTTTGGTGGACCACCTAGCCTTGGCCTTCGATCTTGGTCGAATCACCTTGACTTTCAAAATTTATCGACTTGTGTCAAGCTTCGAATCAGTTAGACTCAATTCAACCTTTAATGCGAGCCAACTCTTCTTGACTATGGATGTCAATGTGAGCCAATCTATGTCCTTTTGGCCTACGTTTTTGGCCTACGTTTTTGGCCCACATAAGAAATGTAGGGTAATTTATTTGGCTCACCTTACAGGTTTAAAGACCGACTTCTGGGTAGCATAAGAAATAATTTGTTTTGTAATTCTTTTCTACAATCAGGATTTTATTAACTATTTATATTTAATTAAATTAGTAGAAATAATAATTTCTATAAGTCTATTTTTTAAAATAAGTAATATTCATACTTTTATAATTTCTAACTTTTGAGTATAAGCCTATTATAAATAAAAATGACATGCATCGAAACATGAGAAGAAACACGAATGAAGAAGCTATTTTTGGATGAATTGAACATAAATGAGTGAGCTACTTTTAGATGGATTGGAGAAGAAATGTGAATGTGAAAGTTGCTTAGAAGAAACACAAATGACATGTAATACTAGTGTTATTGGTTTTAGAAATTTAAGTCAATGCGGTTTATGTAGGTCATCCCATCATTGGCCTGCTTGGGCTATGAGTTTTGTAGGACGAGTTTAAATAAACCAACAAACTAAAATACTCAACTCGTCCTGCACTTTTCTTACGAGCCTACAGGTAATCCCACATGACCGACTTTGCATTGTTATCCATAGTCTTAACCTCTCTATGAGCATACCATCTCGACCTTCGACACATGTTAATCCGTTTATACCTTTGACTCAACTTGACAATTTAACCCAGGCCTACTCATCTTGATTGTTTAACTCAATTCTTTGATTCGAGTCGACTCGACCTTTAATTTGAGTATACACAACTTTATCTAACGGATTTGACTCAACATTCGTTTTAGACCGACTTTACTTAACCTTTGACTCAAGCTAACTCCGCTCGACCTTGGACTCGAACCAATTTGGCTCAACCTAGTATTCAATTATCTTATATTAACTTAATCACACCTTGATAAAATCTAGATCTAATTTGAATCCAAATAAATGGAATGAACTTGAAATCTAAAAATATAAATTTAAATTTGGGATAAATTTATTTAATTAGATTTAAACTAATATAAATTTAGATTATTATGGATTGAATTTTATAATTTGAATTTCTTGACAATCCTTATTGGATATGAAGTAAATTCAATGTTTGGTAAATTCAAATAGTAATAAGTTGTGAATAAATTTATATAACATATTATATTTAATTAAAAAAATATAAATATAACCATGTTGAAATAAAGTGAGTATGACACAATTATGGTCTTTTTATTTTTCCTTAATAACAAGATTGTTAGGTGTTATAAAACTCAAGAAAGGAGTGATATACAATAAGTGCAACTGGAAAAGTTGATGTTGCATACAGCAAAGGTGATGCAAACCAGAGGTTAATTGTTATAAACAATGATTTGCACGTGAAGAAGTTGATTTTGCGATCCAAAATATGTGTAGATCCAAAATATGATGTAGAACAACGTTTCATAATTGTTGTAAATGATGATTTGTCTCAAAATCTTGACTGACTTTCTTTTTTTTTTCAATTGAAGTTTCCAGTAAAGATTGTTTTTACTGATATTTTCTAAACTTTTCACAACAATAATTATTTAAGATGACTCATCAAAACTATTTTTACAATGTTGATGGTTGAGAAGTTTACTTCCAACTTTTTTTATTGATATTGACTACAACTTTCCCCTAGTTGATATTTATAAAAAAAATAATCCTAATTAATGTTGACCGAATGTTTTCCAATTCACATTAGAAAGAAAAAAGTAAAACGACCAGAAACAGTAAAATTATTTAAAAAAGTAATTAATAAATTAGATCTAAATAAAATGAAGGGAAAGCAATTAAAAGATAATGTAAACAAGAAGAAATTAAAGGATCCATAATGTAAAGTAAATAAACTAAATCCCCCAAAATTTAGAGCAGATTAAGTTAAAATAAAGTCATATCAACTTATTCATGTAGTATAAAGGTAATGGTGGAAGGTTGGAAATTATAGTAACTTTTGAAGTTGTTGACAGAAAAGATCAACACATGAGGACTCTAAATTGTCGCTCAGTAAGAAGTTCCTGAGTTTGGCATGATTTTGTCTCACTTCTCTTGCAACCTCACTCTCATCATCCATCACACTTTTCACTGCTTTACATACACTTTCTTTGCTGAACAAACCATCTTCTTCCCCCTTCTCCACTTCCACGCCAACCTTCAATTTTCTACTCAGCATTCTTGCATTGATGATATGACCCCCTCTGTGTCCTGGCAGCAGCACCAATTGACACTTATTCACTATGGCCTCTGTTAAAGAAGCAGCTCCACAGTGTGTTATGAAGCAACCAATTGAAGGGTGTTCCAATATCAGTTGTTGTGGCACCCAACCTTCGTATGCAATCCCTCTTCCTTTAACTCTTTCTCTGAACCCTTCTGGCAGGGCTTCTTCAATACACTCAAATCCATCAGGAGGCTTAAATGCTACAAAAAATGGAAAACATGTTAGTTCAAGACCAAGCAACAACTCTTGAAACTGATTTTGTGGTAAGGGGCTTTCGCTTCCAAATGCACAGAACACAACAGAACCATGGTTGAAACCACTAAGCCATGCAACCCATTTTTCCTCCAATGTAGAGTTCGGTGGCTCAGATAAAAGAGGCCCTGAAAGCAAAACAGGTTTTCCATACACAGTTTCTAGATATTCTGCATATGGCCCATCAATTTCTCTGCAACCTTTGAATCCGATTGCATCCGCCGAGCAGAAACTATTGTCTAACCGATCGTACAGAAGAACACCACTTCCAAACTCGAGTTTCCTTACTGCAACGAGGAACCGAAGTTCATGTGGCTGAAACTTGATGCATGAATCAGGGAACCCCGGAGGAGGTTCCATTAGATCAAGTTCAGATAACTCTCTTCCTTGGCTTCTTCTTGGTCCATCTCCAAGGTATGCTGCTGATAATGGGTGAACTATGAGGTACATCACACTCTTGATGCCTAGGCTCCGAGTCAAGCTGGGTAGCCAATGTTGGAAATCGAAGAAAACAATGTGTGGGTTGAGATTCCTCAGGAGAAGTTGAATGTCGTTCTGTGTGCGATCCATGGCGGTGGCGATAAGTGGGGCTAAAGAGAAGGGGACGTCTGAAGTGGTCTCAGCATGGTGAGGAAGGCCATGAACATGAGGAATTTTGATGGGGACAAAGGTGATGAGATGAGGGTGCAGATTGAGATGGTGTAGTTTGGTTTGTGTTCTTTGTGGGACTATGAAGGATATTCTGTGACCTCTCTCTGCTAACTTGTTGGAGAGGTGAAGATTAGGAGTGAGGTGTCCCATAGCAAACCATGGAAATATTGCTATGTGCAAAGGAGCAGCACTTGCAGTAGAATCCATGGTTGCTTGAGTCATTTGCCGTGGTGATAGACTGCTACTACACTAATAGAACCATATATATAAGAAAAACAACAACTGACCTATTTCATCGGTGTCTTTCATAAAGACATTATATCATTAAATAGTAAAAGAAATCAGACAGAACCAAAGGATAAAGGTATTTTCAATCCGGCCTAAGAATTGCCCTCATCTTCGCATAAAACCACGTGCTCGACGTTGGTGGTGACGTGGCACGTCCACAGGGTGTGAGGGGTTGACGTGGATTTAACTAGTTGGCAATGAGGATTTGCGAGTTTGACTTGATTGGTCCATCGGACGGTGGACAATTGATGGAGTTTCTAAAAGGAAGTGGAGAAATACGGATGAAAAATTCACTACCAAATATTTTGGTGGGTAATAATACTAAATGGAAACTTGTATTTGTTAGTGATACTTGCATATAAAGATATAAAAATACATGAGTATGAAAGGATTTCTTTTATATATATTACCATAAACAACAAAGATCCCCCAATTTTTAAATATAGAAATTATTTAAATTTTAAAAGTAGTAATTAAAAGGATAAAATTGAAAAACAAAATATGTATATAATTATAAATATATAGTTATAGATAAAATAAATTTTAGTAATTGAAATAAAAAATATTATAAGTAATATTCTATAAATGATTTTTTATTATAAATAATAATTCAAATTCAAAATATAATTACTAAAATGATAAAAAAAAGTAATATTTTTTAAAGAGTAATTATTTGAATTCGGTTACTAAAATGATAAAACTAAAAAACATTTTTTTATGTTGAATAATTATTTAAATTTAAACTATAGTAATTAAGAGAGTAAAATTGAAAAAAAAAATATATAAAAAGTGTATTACTTTTATATATAGTTACAAATATATATAGATATAGGTTATACTTTTCAATCCATGTATGATTTTAATCTATTATGTTTTATATATTGACCTTTTCAAAATTTTATTAAAGTAGTCATTATAATTAAAATTATCTTACATCATAATTTAAATTGTTTATTTAAACTTTAAGTTTAATTTTAGTAGTATAAAATATAAGAACTTAAAGATATATATATATATATATATATATATATATATATATAGTATTTATGTATGTATAAACAAAAATCCACTAAACTTTTCCTTTTTCCTTCTCTTACGGTTCTTTTCTCTCAAAATCAAAATCTCTAAAATTCAAGTGTTTTTCTTCCTTTACCACCTCTAGTGGCCACACTCCATACTTCTCACATCAATTTCTTCAAATACATTAACATAAATGCCATGGTTATTATTGTAGGCGTACTATCAAAATAATTTGTTGTTGTAAATGCCATGGTTATTATTGTAGGCGTACTATCAAAATAATTTGTTGTTATAAATGCCATGGTTATTATTGTAGGCGTACTATCAAAATAATTTGTTGTTGTAAGAGCTGAGAAAATTAAAGAAGTTGGAAAAGACAGGTGTATACAGAGGATAAGATCGAGTGATTTTAAGAGTGGCATATAAACGAAAATTTCAAAGCTTCGTTTTATTCTCTGAATACACCATCTTTCGTCAAAACTTTGATCTCCTCTTTTCTCTCTAAAATTTCTCACCAGTGGTTCATCTAATCCGCGATCAGAAGCCCCAAGGCGATCCTGAGGTCAAGAGCTTCCTATTCCACCGATCAATTTCGGGTTTTAAGTGGGTAAGTTTCGTTTCTTAGATTCTGGTGATTTTCTGGAATTTCTAGCACATGCAAGAAAGCCTTGTTGTTTGCATATGTTCATCAGTCTTCTCTTTCCCTTTGTAACTTCATTCTTGATCTTTTGGTTGGTCTCTTCTCACCAATCAACGAGTTATATATGTTCTTAGGATTTTCTGGTGTTGTGAGCAAATGTCTGGAAAGAAAGAAGTTGTGTGGTCCAGTTAAGAGGTAAGGGAAGCTAGTTAGTTTAATAGATTTGTTTATGATGTATGAAAATACTATTTGACGGTTCTACATGTATGTGAAATTGAATGATTGTGTGCTCGGTATTATTGGAATGTATTGTGTTCATGTTGAATGTTTTTTTGTACCATTTCTAGTTTATGGACGAGTGTATTGTGAGGAATGTTTAGAGGTTCTTAGAGAAGTGTATAGGTTTGTATAATACAAGTTGGAGGATTAGAAGTTAGGAAGAATGAAGGAAATTGGTAAAGATAGGTATCAGAGCCTAGCCTCTCCACGTACGGTGTGGTTCGACGCGGAAGCTGGTACGCATGTGACACCCGGGCATTGACGAAGAAGGGAAGTGATCGCCGGTACAAGAGGCACGAAGTGCAAGAGGCACAAACAAAGAGCGGCTCCTAGCAGGCTTCTAGTGGAAGGGACACATGGATGAATCGAACATACACCGGAATGAGGGATCTAGAGACTGTATAGGTATGGGACTATACAGTTGAAGGATAGCATAAAAGGATTGATTTGGCTATTCATATGACCAAAATGCATTTTCTTTTCGGTAGTCTAACCCATAAAAACTCTATGGTTTAGCGTGCTTATCCTAGAGTAATTTAGGGATGGGCGACTTTCTGGAAAGTTGTCGGGGCATTATAAGTAGTTTCGCTGAAGGCTCCTTGTTGACCGTTCGACCTTACTCTTGTGTTCAGTCTTAACTGAGTTCTGCTTTTGTAGAGCTTTAGTTAATGACCGATCGTCCTATTGTTAGTATAATGTTCGGCCTAAGCTTTAAGTGTTCAGCTTAAGATTCCATTATTTGGTTTAACTTTAGTATTTGGTTGCTGTAGTGTTCGACCCTAAAATCGTGTTCGGCTCATGCTTGAGTCTTACTCTTTAAATGATCGCTCGGTCATGTTCACATATTGGGAGTGTTCACATAATGACCGGTCTTGTTCGTAGGTTATGTTGATCTTTTAAGTTTGGTCGTGCTCAAGGGTGGTGGTTGTTTTACTGTTCGATTTGATTTTACTTAAATGTGTTATGGATGAGGAAGTATGTTGGTATTGAAGTATGGTATGATATATGTAATATGGATATGAAAGAGAATTCCAAGGAGGAATATCTCATGGATGGTTATGGAATTGTAAAGTATGAATGTGGTTACTGTTTAGCTGGCGTTTATCCTAATATTCTGTAATTACTCATTCTCACGTAGAGAGGAGTAACTCATGTATGAGAATGGCAGGAGGTTCTAGTCCATAAGGGTAACTTAGGTGAGGTATAACGGATTAACCACGGGTGGCAGCTATTGAAGGCATCCCAGTTACTACACCATCCGAGTGCACAAACATTGTAGCTACACAATTCATACAATCTGGATATCTAAGTCAAGTAGTCGGTCATCGCATGTATTATACGTCCGGTCATTGTTGGAAATGTATGTTCGGTTGTTGCATGATTGACATGTTGGTTTTTATTTACTCTTATACTTGTTTGAATTATATGTTGTATTGGATTAGTTAAATTACTCTAACTTACCCTTATTTCCTATCTTGTCATGTTGTTCATTCGGTATTCTTCCTTGCGATGATTACCCTGTGGGCGTGAGCATACGGAGAGGAGTTTTCACCGGAGCAATTACTGGAAACAAAGGATCCACCTACTTAGGTATAAGATCGTCCAGTCTTGTACATAGATTCGTACTAGCATAGGAATTTTGTAAAGTTTTAAATTTTTTGGTTATTTTAGGATAATTGTAAGATAATTTTCCTACAGTAATTGTTCTATCTTATTATTATGTGATTTCTCGTTAATGTAGTTTCATACTATAATTTTTGGAATGTTACAGTTGTCATTATTATTCTAGTAATTTAAAATTTCGTTCTAATTTTTATATAAAAAATTAAATTGAAGAACTTTTTTAAAAAACTATAATTGTTTTAAAAATTAAATAGGCCAATTAATTTAACACACCAACCATAAAAGGACTAGACGTAGTGTTACACATGTCTAAGTTGACCACAAGTTCTCAATGCACTATACCAACACGTATATTTCACTATTAATTTTAATAACAATTAATAAGAAAAATAATGAATCAGTGATTAATTAGGACCTACTGTTTTAGAAAATATTATGATTACCTTGGTCCCAAAAGATGCATGTTCGTGAGCCTCTCGTATCTTTGGTTGCGCATTCAAAACCCCGCATAAGACAAGTTGCTTTCCTTTACTTCTGCATTTCTCAACTTCATCTCTTCCCTTGTGAGTAACCAATTGTAGGGCTGTAAGATATCTCCACAGAAAAGAAAGAAAAATAATGCTCAGACAGAGAGAATAATAGAATTCTAGAGGGAAACAGAATTTCCTGTATATTCGCTCCCTTTCCAATCATTTGTATACCTCTATATAACAGCATACATGCTACGCGAAAAAAGTAAAAATGACAAAAGGAATAAAGTTAGTTATGATCCTAAATCCTTCTAGAACCATAACACTGCCAAATCATCAATTAGTCACGTAGTCGTTGAGGTGTGTGGGTTTCCTTCGGATTCTTTTGGGTAATTCTCCTCTGTCCACGTTTTCTTGATCCTGTGTTGGGCCTTGAGGCTCTTCATCAGTAATGGGCCTAACAAGGGCAGCCGGAATATAGGACCAGAGTTGGTCTTGCTTTTTTTAACAAAAACAAAGTTGAAAGGGTGTACTTCATTGATAGGGTTGGAAGAGGTTGTCCTTGTTGCATCCTTTTAAAGTCATGTACATCTGTTTTTAATATACTCCTCATCCCCCATGCATGGATCTTAACCCTTGATAGGGTTTTAAATGTGATACGTGCTCCTGTTTTCACAAAATGACAATGCTCTCTCGAGATATAAATGATCCAACAATGATTTGATTTAGCAAGATATTGCGTGTTCAAATAATGTGGCATATCACAGTATTCTTCTGTATGTTTACTTCGAAAGAAAGATATAATGGGTGCGATGAAGAATCACCGACAACAGGAGCAATGTTTCCCTCAAATATAACACAAAATGCAAAGCCCATCCAGTCTTCAT